AGAACACTTCTGACTGATATTTCAGTTCATGACCCTACGGGCTGCAATTCCTCATGTGACCTACAGGCAGTCCTCCGGGCCCTTACGCCCTCAAGCAGGGCCTTTGACGGTCGGTTCCGACGGGCTACCTGACATGTGTGGTAAAAGTGTATTTTTTGTCGCCGACCAAATTTTTGGAGGAAAAACTGACGCCAGTGTTGCAATGCGATACCAGGTGACAAGCTAGTCATTAAGTCCATGCCCAGTAGTGTTATCAGTAATCAGCTTATCACCGAAAGTCTATTTCATCACTGCAATTTTCAATATCATGCGCATAACCAAAACGTTCAGTCATATACTGCTCTTGAACAAATGCCAGCAGGATAATTGCTGTCGTTAGGAAACCAGACGCACCTGTCCTAGACAAATGAGATAGACCAATCACAACAGAAGTTTTCTTCCGCCCTCGGGACTTGCCGAGGCCTCACGTTTAAACTCGATCTGCGGCTGGATTTGCTTTCAGCGACCGCAAAAAAAAAAAAACAGCGAAGGACCTCGATAGACAGGGCAGCAGAATGCATGGCAGATTCCGAACCAGTAGCGCGCGGCACTGGGAATTACGTCAAATATGGGGCCTCCACGAGGCCATGCCCCTTACGAAAATCATGTTCGCGCTCCGAGCCCCATCCCACCCGTCATCAAAGTATTCACCCTAGGCATGCTCCACGCCCGGCGTGACGTGTTTTGATTGGTGGGCGCCTCTCGCCGTGCCCCAACAGCTGCATAGAAATTTGTCGATAACTTCACATCAGGCGGATGGCTCTTTCTGAACAAGTTACTCGCCCTGACAGGAAGGGGAGGGTGGGCGATGTGACCACCCCCCTCCCTCCGCTACGGTTTTCTGAGGATACCAACGCGGCATATTGTGTAGTCTTGCTCAAATCTTTTGTAACCTCTGGGCCATCCATTGTACGCGTGTTGCCACAAAAAGTGCCACTCGCAATTCTAGTTTCAGAACAGTGGTGTTTTTTACGACATTGCAAGACGACTCAAGGCCGGCGGGTGCTGCAGGGAGCAAGCGACGATTTTGCGGACCGCGCACGGGGGTTGGCGCTATTACATGAACGAAACCCTTCCTTATCAATACAGGCTCCAAACAGATAAAATTACATGCCACTGTACTTATCATTAACCAAGGGACACGTCTCTTTACGTTCCATGTCTTTTCATGACATGGTTTTGTATATATGAACATGCAAAGCTGATGTTTGGTTTTCAGGAAAAGTTTACCTTCGACTCGATCTAGGAAATCGTAGACAGGCCTTGTCTACGTGGCGCGTGCATATCTGACTCAATATGGCCTGCATGCTAGTGCAGAGTGCCACCATTTTCTCTCGCCAACGCACCAGAACTCCAGGAAATGGATTCATGTTGTCCGGTCCCGCATCGAGATGTCGCTGGGGCATTGTTTATCTTCCTCGGCGGCATCGTCAACAAGTCGAACGTTCCCCGACTTGTTTGGACTTGTACGGTAAGCAGCAGTAGAAACCACGTGTCAGGCAGCCGTGTGCAGCTTCATCAAACGTCGGCTTTCCGAAGCGTCCACCGGAAATCCTTTGCTCTATCCTGGCGAACATTATCGCTGCTGGACTAGTCTTCGACTCATCACTGTCGCGACCACAACGTTCTGACCTATTCAGCCGTCTCTCACGTGCAATCGCTTGGTTTCCCGTCACCCTCGACTGCGGAGTAGTCTGCCGTGCGTGTTCCTTCCCAGGATGGGTGCAGCCCATTGTTCACTGTTGTGAAAACCGTACTGTCTAACGCCCGTTCCGCTGAACGATTTTCATGACTGCGCGACTTCTCGAAGTGGGGTTGAATCCAAGCCCTTTCGCAGACCATGATTGGCTTCTGACCTTGACTTTCTGACTTTTATGAAATTTCTTGACTTATGTACGCCAAGAAGTGATCGTTCATGCTGTCTGAAATCACTTTACTGAGGAACTGTACGCAGATTAGCTGTCGCGCTCCCTTGCTCCTAATCGCACGGCCAGTCATAGATCACCGCACCATCGTATTTTGAAGCGATGGTCCGTTCTTTATGGTTTTCAACATTTTCCTGGTTGCGATCAGCGTCGTGTTATCCGACTAGAACAGCAGCTCCGGGGTCTCGTTGATCAGAGGCATGCCGAGCTAGTGGCTCGGCGGGGCCAGGTAAGTCAATTTGTCGACAGCCACCGAGCTTCTGTCGATATCCAGTCTCGGAACAGTACACACGTCATTCACCCAGTAAGTCTCTCTGGTCATCACGTTTGTTTCGTGTTCTTTGTGATAAGTTTGAGTCTGCGGCAAACATATCAGATATCGTCTTCATGTTGAGTTTGGGAGGCCCACCATTAGGGCCAAGGTCGTTGAACAGACACAGGAGATGGCAGTGATCGAACTTCTTATTCAATTACCCCACTCATTCCCTTCCGTTCGCGGTCCCATGGATCTCGACTACGGCAGCCTTCATTATGGAAGAACTTCGGCCATATTACACTGAATTGGCCATGCCCATGATCTCTGAAGGCGTGCATGAAGAAGTCGATGGTAGTTCTGTTCACGGCTCTCTTGACCGCAGGGTCGGATCTGGTAGCACTGGTGTGTACGGAGCGAGCATGAAGAAGGCCATGGTATTTTTGTTCACGGTTCTCCTGACCGCAGGGTCGGGTCTGGTGGCACTGGTGTGTCCGGGCGTGCATGAGGTAATCGATAGTAGCTCTGTTCACAGTTTTCTTGAGCGCAGGGTCGGATCTGGTAGCACTGGTGTGTCCGGGGTGCATGAAGTAATCGATGGTATTTCTGTTCACAGTTCTTTGACCGCAGGGTCGGATCTGGTAGCACTGGTGTGTCCTGGGCGTGCGTGAAGCAACCGATGGTAGTTCTGTCCACAGTTCTCTTGAGCGCAGGGTCGGGTCTGGTGGCACTGGTGTGTCCGGCTTTCGCCGTGTTTGCCCTGGCCAGTCGGTCGTCCAGTACCAGTTTCTGAAGCGCCAGCCACCATACCACGTAGTGGTTTTGGGGACGATAGGAGCAGTTCACAAGGCGGGGACCTGAGCCTTCCTCGATACTTCCTGTTGTGTGCGTGGTGCCGTGCTCGGTTGGCGTCGCCCGAGCCGGCAGCGCCACCGGCTTGGTGATCCGGTTCTCGTGTCAGCCAGAGTTGTCCCTGGGTAGGCGCTAAAGAGAGGTCGCGGGACCGCTCTTGACAGCGTTGTATTGGCTCTCCCGGCACTTCTCTTTCAGAAAGTAGTGGAAAAGTTTGTGGATAAGTTGTTTCCTTTTCACACCGGTGACGGGCTTACGCAACCCAGGCGTACTGGCTGTCAACGGCAGGTTTCCAACTAGCAACTGCAGTGTCCTCGTGTTGTTCAGCTCATCCTCAAATCCAAGTGCCTCGTAGAACGGGCGTTTTACAGTTCGGTACTATAACAAGCCAGCTGCTGGAAATCTACTCAGCCTGAACTCAATCCTTTAGTTTACTCTTCGTCTCCTCTCAGCGGCGTCTCAGTATAACATGCGCAAAAACGTTCGTCCAAGCCTATGACCATGACCAAACGCTGACGCTTCCATCGGTTGCTACACTGCCCGCAGGAGCGTGACTTTCCGCAAGTGTTTGCAGTGTTGCACTTGCGATCCTACTCTATCCATTAATATCCATAATGTTGAAATGAAATGTTGACTTACCGTTGAAATGTCAAGTTACTGGTGTTTCTGCACCACAAAAGAAGCATGCTCTGACACACTCTGGTCGGGCGCTTGTTGGAGTGCAACTCGGCGCAGCGGGGCGTTTAGAACAAGGCACTAGCGATAGTGGTTAGAATGTGCGCGGCCTCCACACTGCCCTTGAAGCGATGAAAGGATCCGGAAGCGGTGCACGTGAGAGGAGGACATTTGCATACGGGTGGGTACCCGATGATGTTGCGGGACGGACTCCCAAGTGAAAACAAGAATGCTGCAGCTGATCAGATAACTGAACGTAGCGGCGCAGCCATAGTCATGACAAGGCAAGGGTAGAAGGTTGGCAAAGGGCCCCCTGATGGTGAAAGGCCCCCCAAACAAAATCACCACCGACTGTAGATCGAAATGGGACCAAGAACTTGTATCAACACGGCTAACCCATGTTCGTCTGGGAATGTTTAACCTAGAGTCAGAAACGATTACTGATAAAACTATGTACCACAGTTTCGAACGAGACGGCGGACCAGTCCCCGAAACTCAGCGCAACGCCGGCCCGACGCCGTCCGCCGTGATCCGGGTCGGCCGCGCATATTGCAGCATTGGTTTGGTTTAGCATGACTGCCTGAAAATACACCACGGGCGTGGTGCAAAAATCTGAAACTACCGCCTGCCAAACTACGGACGGATTGTAGGCACCACGCGCAAGCACGAAGCCACCGGCTGGTCTGATTGATCAAATTTATCCGTAAACTCGTCACCGGCCTCAGCCTGGGAAATGACTAAGCACAGGGGCATAGTAACTTAAAATGAGTTGGGAGAGGAGTCTGAACAGCGGAAAATGAGTCAGCCTGCCCGAAACACATCCACAAACGGGTTTCTCTGCAGATTTAGGCGTCTCTTTGCTCGAAGCTGAGGGGCGCTAGGCTAGGTGGTGGTCCATTTCAGATAAATGTTGGGGTTTACGTACACTGCAGGGGCGCATCCAGAGCTCTGGCAACGGTTGGATGGGAGGGGGAATCGCTGACAAAGGACTTGCTGATGGTGAGGACCTCACTTTCGCACCCCAAAATAACTGGGTAAAATGTTTGAAGTAACATGGCCAAGCCACGTCTGCTTGTAAATGTGCACCAATCAGCCCAAAACAACAAGTAAGAAAAACTATATCACGTGATTTAGAGCATGCACATCCGCAAATCTTTTGCGGAACTATGCCCTGCGCTCGATAATTTTCCAGCTTGGGAGCCGGCAATGATTTTACAGATCTATTGGCCCGACCTGACCCGCTGGTGACTTCTTACCTGCGCGAAATCCGTAATCCACCCGTAGTGCGACGAGTGGTAGTTGAGATTGTGGTGGTAGTTTAGATCGTGTACACCCCTCTCGTGGTGTATTTTCAGGCGCGCGTGCTGAACTAAGCCGATGTTGCAATACACGCGCGCCGCGGCACGTCTCACATGCGCCTTCAGTCGTCACGCCTCACCTTATCAGCGCTGCCAGCGCGGCTCGACCGGCGGCGGCGGTCCACCTCTCACCCCGGCACTCTTATCTAAACTGCACCGCGCTCACCGGACGGCGCCGGCGATCTACCGACTCCCGCAGCCAACGACAGGTGGCGGGCCGACCGGCCGTCAACCTTGGTCACCCGCGCGCGCACGTACGTGCATGCACGAACGGCGGTACCCTGGAGCAAGGTTGGGCTAACTCACGCGGTCCACGTGCAGCTCAGGCCGCAGGTCGGATGAGTTCGCAGGGTACGCGTTTGTCGGGCGAACGGGCCGCAGGTCGGACGAGCGTGGAACGCCCGTTTGCCGGGGCTACAGGCCGCAGGCCGCAGGTCGGACGGGTTTGCCGGGCGCTCGTTAGCGAGGCCAACAGGGAATGGATCGGTCGTTTGCATCTCGCGATTTCTGAGAGCCAGCGCAATGGTTGGTAGAAATTGATTCACTGGAAGAGTACTGGAAGCCGAGGTCGGCGCAGTGCTTGCCTGGAAAACCCACAAGCCATTACGAGGGACGCCTACCACCCTGTTGTCGTTGGAGCTTTACGACTCACTCAGCTATTGAGGCAATGTGGTGGCGCCTGCTGCTCACCCTGGCGTGAATGGCGGCTCAGGGAGCAATCCAAACCCGCATTTCTGGTTTCCACGCGCACAGTTCTGCCACCACCCTGCCGGCACCACCCACCAAACTGTAACCAGCGACTGTTCCTAGGCATCTGCTTGCATTCATTGAACCGGGAAGTGAAACCTGTAAGCTTATCATTATTATCATCATCACTATAACTTTTATTCCTATTGGCATCCTTATCATTCACATCTTTTGTTTGCAGTTTTAGCATTACTCAACTATTGCTATCATCATTATTATTGAATTGTATATAATAAATCCCGAAAGCTTGCAGCGGGGCTTTGCGAGGCGCAGGCTCTTAACGTCTTGTGGGACAAGGTACGGCCGTCAGCCCGAGCGAGCGAGCGTGTAAGAACCTCCTACCCTCCTGGAGGGAGCCTCCCCCAAGCGCCCGCGAACACCCCCAGAAAAGGGCTGCTGTGTTAGGGTAAATCTAGGCGGCGAAGAACTCCCAGATGGTCGTTTTCTTGCCCCCGCACTCATCTCTTCACTTTATCCCATAGTTCGGAGTGGTCACGCTTGGTCGAAAGAACCACATACTTCACCTCACGGGATACATGCTCTTTGCCCACAGCATGTTATCCAGGGGACTGTGTCCAGACGTACCTAATACCTATTTTGACCAGTTGTACCCACCCGTTTGTATTTTTGCGATACTTAAGCTCTCCTTTATGGAAAAGCCTCTTGACATTTCTCAGCGCACTGTACTCTGTCGCGCTGATAATCGCAAACGGTGTGAATAGATACAACCATGAGTAGGATAAGTGCGGGTAGGAACGTCATCAAGTACGTCCTCATGGTATCTACTCAACATTTGATAAACGTCTCTCCCATATCGGAACCCATACCATTAATTTTCCAACACCTGCAGGTAGGTATGGCTCGCGTGGTCACGTCCTCGGAGCATCGTTTCGACTCGTATGTCAGCACGTCACGATCTGGGAGTCAGCTGACGCCAAGGCTCGGGCTGGTATTCAGTCCAGCAGTGGCCGCACGTACAATGTGACGTCTTCAAGCGCTCTTGTCCCCAGCGCTGAACTGGCCGACCATCCGCTGAGGCTGAATCACACGCAGAAGGGATGCAATAAAGACCTCGATCGTTTATTTGTCTGGCTGTTCGCTTCCCGCCCCGGTGAGGGGTCGTCGACGTAGCAGTCACCACTGATAGCTCTCTTCGCTTCTTCTGCTGACGCGCAATCGCGATCTTTGCGTACAAAACAGAAACCCACGACGCCGAAAGACGCCTTGGCACCAAAGATCAAAACGGGTGACTCGTAAACATGGAAGGCAGTATTCCAGATTTGTATGGGATTCGGAACTCAAATATCTGTCTTGAAGATCATTCGGTGCAGTTCGCAGCCCTGCTCTTCTGAAGACCTAAAAGTCTCCAGGCTCAAGCTATACGCGCACGGAGATGTTTAGACAATTTCGGGGAGACTATTTCAAGGTCACCTAGGTATCCGATACGCCGTTTGTGCACACACAGTGCATTCCAGATATAATGGCCGTCAATTGGATCTCAATCAATGTTGTGCAAATTACGATGATGTAATCAAGCAATGACGTATTAAAGATTTTATTTACTTAACAGGGAGACTGTGCTGTCTAGAGCTGTCTTTTTCAGTCAAAAGTATACCAATAGTTATAACTGAGCTTATTTTATCCTTCTTGAAATGTGGAACACTCCCTTTAACGTGAGTGTTTCACTTTAAAGGATGTTGAAGCAAGCATGACATAGGATGAAATCAGCTCAATTATCACTATTGGTGTACTTTTAATTCGAAAACTGCTCTAGACACCAACATTTCTCTATTTAGCAGCTGTCCTTCTCAATACGCCATGGCTTAATTGTCATAGAACGCTTGTATGGAGTTGAGGTACGGCTAAACTAGCCGTGCGAAATTGTCATCCCAGCACTCACTTGTAATACTTCAAACTCGCCAAAAGATGGCAATGGCGATTGTGGAAGTGTTTGCTGAGCCATATATTGTTACGTGCAATGGATCAATGGATTGCTATGACCCTTTTCACGATATCTTTGCATATTTATTCGTGAATTGAAGATCTTTGTTCGCTTTCACAACTCTGGTTATGGTGCTGTTCTTAACATACGCTATGGTAGCCGGTCTCATACCCATCGTGGTCCCAGGGTGGCCCTTCACATCGGCGGGAGGGTCAATTTGACCCCTTGAGATCTCAAAAACCAAGAGATCTAGCAACACCAAATTTTTAGCGTGTGTCGCCCTGTTTGTTAAATTACTTGTGTCAAAATTTGAGAGGTCTAGTCCATTAAACTTTGGATTAATCAAGGTAAAGCAAGGTCAAACTCCAGATTGGTTTCAAAGCGCCCCAGATCTTATCATGCAATCGCTGTGAACCTAGACACTTGTTTTAAGCCAAAATATCACAAGTGCTCATTTAAGCTCATTGACCTCATTTGACTTTCGGAAGGTCATGGCGACCGAAAATCATAAAAAGCCGCTTTCATTTTTGCATTTGAATGAAAGTCACGGTTTGTGTTTGGCGGGATGTTCCTAAAACAAGTAATTTACCTGTATGATTTTAGGTCAGTTATTAGTCAGTTTAGGTCCTATTCTAACCTTTAAAATCCTGTTGATCGAAAATGAGCACCAACAACCACGCCAAACATCAAGCTCTATAGTTAAAGAACAGGTCGCCTTAGACCTTGGCCTGATCTTCATACCTGACCATTGGTCAATGGAATTTGTTTCTTCAATTGTTGCGTTGCCTAAGAAACTTTCCGGGGGCAGTATGACTTTGTTTACCAGTTCGTTGCTGCATCAGATTAAATGATTCTCAAGATATCGCCTACGCTGAATTCATGGCCCGACTTTGACCTGCCATAGGTCAGCGACCTTACAAGGTGCATCTAGATTCCTGATACAAAAATCCCCTATTTAATGGTCACAGATATGAAAATTTGACATGGCTACACCGCGCTGTACGAAAATGGTTTCGGAAAAGTCTTCGGGGGGTCACATTAAACCCCACCCAAGCGCGTATAAGTTCTTCGGTCCCACGTCTTGTTTCGGTAATAATTAGCAGCTATGTTCAACTTCTAACATTCTGTAGCACAATGCATGATTCGTGATTGCCACTTGCACATCTTGCCCAATATTGATTGAGAGCCAACTGATGTCCACCATATTTTAAAATCATGCTCACGGAAGTCAGATCTAAACGGCTCGGCGATAATACTTGTCTTGGCCTATAACGCCGCAAAGCCTGTGAGGTGCAAGGATTTAAATGGCATTTCCTTGGCGTCATGCATTCCTGAATAACCTTGAGATAGTCGGCACGAACTTTTGTGCGCATATTCGCGAGCGCATTAGTCAGAAACTAGGGGGTTTTCGGTCTTGAGACGTACAGGACTATGAACTGCGCCGAGTGATCTTCAAAATGGCTATTTTTGTCCAAAACTCGATACAAATATGGAAGTATTTTTATCTCACGTGTTTATGGCCATCTTTTCAATATACGTTCTAGGAACATTGAAATGGTAGAATTTTCAGCTGAAGAATGTTTGTGGAAATTGGCTACAGATCTCTACCCGGTGTCGTAGCGCCACGAATTTAACTCGCGCTGACGGACGAAAAAAACAGACAATCGTACTGGTAAAAGTGTCGGAATATGTGTCGAACGACACGTATTTCGTGCGCAAATAATGGATTCATCTTTGTTGGAACGTTTTTACAGATAAATTCGGGCCCCAACAACCAGAGCAGACAAGGGCGTAAAGCCAAGTACACAGTATGTCTGACTCTACAGACTACAACACAACATGCTCAATCCTGTTCGACACGTAGGTGTGTCACCAATGGAGCGAACGGCCACCAATGTCGCCTCCTCCGCCACCCATCTCAGCTACAATGCTGACGCCGTGGCCGAACCTCAGCGAGACTGGGTGGTGGAAACTACGTTTGCCATACTTCCGTTTTAAGTGGGACCAAAATATAACCATAAAAACGAAAGTTCCTTGTAATATTTCGGCGACACTTCCAAAAACCGTAAATCACTGCGAACTCGTTGATGCCGTTGATGAGGATTTCAAAGCATCCCTGGACTTACAGTCAGCCAGCGTCAAAGGTAATGCTCTTTGCCAATATACGCGCATGGTAATGTGAATATACGTGCAAATACAGCTGTAATGGATGGTGGAAAGTATTTTAAAACGCACTGATTATGTACACACATTTCACTGGTCTCATCCATTGGTATTGGTGACACCCAGCAGTATTGGTTTCATCCATTGGTACAGCCTGGTTTGCTGTCCATGTAGTTCGGTCAGCGGAGTGCTGGAAACCTAACCACAAGATGTAGCGAGCTATATGGTTTTGCCAGTCAGAAGCCGCACTTGGCCGACT